ATGTCCACAGAATAGAATCTAGCTGTTCAGAGTTGCCTGTGTTACACTATCAGTGACAGCCCTACAGTTGCCATCTGCAATTAGAGAGCGTTTTCATGCTAACTGTCCCAACTAGCACGCACAACAGAAAAACATATTTTGCAGCAGTCCAAGGGTCCACATTTATACACTTGTTTAAAATATGAATCACAAACTAGTTAGTTGCCGTTGTTATCAAAACCTGGAACTGGAGTCTCTGATGACCTAGGCAACTCAGCATCATCCATGTGATTTTTAGGAAAGATCTAGGAAAGCCCGCTTTTTAACCACTCACATGGGTAGGTTGCTTAAAACCCTGGTAAGAAGTAGCATATGGACAAAAGCAATGATAGAACTAAAAGCACTGCCAAGCTGTTCTCAGTGGCATCTACACTGCTCATTAGCTATAAAATTAACAAGAGCTAGATTAATTTCTAGCTCTTGTTTCCCCAATGTATTAACATTGCTGTCAACGGAAACCTTCCTGTTTCCTGGATAAAGATTTAATTCCCTTCTCCCTTCCCCCTCTCAAATCACAGGAACATCTCAAAGTGAACGTCCTGAAATTGAAAAAACAGGGTCTTCTAGGATCCCACTTCAGAAATGATACCGGTGGCATTACAGCTGCACTAGGGCTCAGTCAAAGTTGCTGTACCCTGCTAGTCACCTGCGACAATTATCTCAGAAAAAGCACCACATTGATGTGGCTATGCTATTTCCAATACCTAAACTGGCTCAGCTGGCTCTGCAGACCCTGCACTGAACTGGACATTTACAAATACAAATATGTCCAGATACAGACAGACATAAAATCTGAAGCACTTCAAAGGGCGAGTAAACAGACATAAAAAGAACCTGGAAAAACATTTAACTTCTCTGAACTGCTTCATTCTGCAGTGTTCCCTATTACATCTGTCTTCCAGCATCCATCCCCACCCCCAGGCAGATGGGTGATGGGGCAGAACACCAACATCACTCTCCTGTGAATTCAGCTGTCATCAGAGGTAGAGACAAGAAATCCCTGCATACGTCTCTGCCTTTGGTCTCCCAGTTTCAGAAAAGGACAGGGGGGAGGAGAGGTAGGACAGTATGCTCTGGGAGATTGGAGACCAGAAACCAAGTGCACACAATTGGAGCACTCACTGGCTGCCTGTCCCACTTCATCCCTTTGCCACCCTGGGAAAGGAGTGGAGTTTTAGCACAAAGCAACTCTCTACCGTACCTCCTGGCTGGAGAGCAGGCTACTGTGTGCCATCATGGGAATTTTGAAGTGTTCCTAAGGTGGGGGGGTGGGGGCTGTACACCTGTGTAGAGCTGAAGCACTCACTTTCTGAAGTGCTTCAATCTATCCCTACCCTTCATGTCACTTTCTTTGATGATTCAGTACTTAAAAATAAAATCCCTATGATTTTACATTTATGCTGACTCTCGTATTGAATTCGTTCACCCTTCTTTGATTACCATGAAGTGCTTTATAGAAGAAGGTGGACACAGTTAAGCTGCCTATACAAATACTCTAATACTTTAAGATGGTATATTAAAACTCATATCTTTGAGTAAAAAAATAGCCACACATTACTGTGCCAGCCTTCTCACTCAGCTAAGCCCCTTATTCTAAATCATGTCCATCTAATATTATTAAAGTTTCTAAATGAGCAGGAATAAAGCATAGCGCATACTGTATTTAGCACAATTTACTGACTATCACTGCCTTCCACATAAAACAATAAAAAGACAGAATTGAAATAAATATCATCCTAAGTGAAAAAGGCATCTATGTGTTTCAAAATACAACTTCATAACAGGTTGAGGAGTTTTTTGGTGAATGAAAACAGTTTGTGCAATATTGTTTTTTTTCCCTTTAGATCACTTCAAAACAGGCAAGCTGGCCATACTAGAGCAAGCTTCAGAGATGTAACAGTGACATCTAGTGACTAAAATATGCAATGCAGCATGTGGGACAAATTTCAATATTCACTTATTTTCTTTGTACTGTAACTAGTTTTGAGTTTCGAGCTTTCCTTAGGAACAGCCAATTTCACATGCATTTGTGTCAGATCAAGTTTTTATATTAATGCTGATACAACTTCTCTTCCATGGGAAACTCCCTCACTTTCTCCAAGCACAGTATAAATGTTATGTTATGAAGTTTCTTGGTGCCTCCGTTCCAAAGGTCTAATTCTAAGTGCTGTAGTTTCAACAGTGGAAAAACAAAATGAGACCAGAAAAGTCTGTGAACGACAACTGTGCTACTGTAGTCAACTGCTGAGGTTGCAAGTTAGAAGAGCAACATGCAAACTTCTCCTCCACCCTTGGGTACACATATTCTAACAGGATCAGCAGGTTAACATAGTACCCTCGGGTGCCACAGTCCCTCCCACAGTACATTGTGGCTGTCTTGCCTTCCTGTTGGGAAACCCCTGCCTTTCTTTTCCTGGGCTCCCACCTGGTAATCAGAGAGCACAAAAACCCAAAGAAAAACAAGATGCAGTTTCCCAACAGTTTGACAAGATGTAGCCACCTTTCTACAAGGTGAAAAAAAAAAAGCCTCAAACCTATAGAGAAGCAGGCACATACACCTAAATCAACATTATTTCTCTGATGCCTAGAAAAAAAACAAAAAACTGAAGGCTTCCTGTCTCTTGGGAAAAATGAAAGATTACTACATGTCACATACCTGATAACACACATGTATTGTTTGGAGAGGCAGGGGAAGAAATAAAAGCAGGAGGGAGGATTTCCTATCCAGGAAAAGAATTTCCAGCAGTGGTTATGAGGAGGTGGGCCAAAGGGAGCCTGACATGGCTCTGGGACTTGAGAGGCAGAAGCCTGGAAAGCTCAGGGAGCATTAAGTCCAGAGAGCTCAAGTTGAGCATGACAGGTTCTAACCTAGCTGACTGAAAGGAGGAGACAATAGCTAAAGCAGCAATTGAATATTGTGACAGCAGATAAAAACATAGCAACTGGGAAGGCTGGAAAAGAGACGGAGACAGTCTGCACAATCCAGAATTGGAGGAGAGAGTTCACACAGTAGGGAAGCTAGAGAATCTGGCTTGGCTTGGATATTCCATTTACCTTGACTGTAACTTCCACCTTCTTTTGCACTTAAAATTCTAGCTTGTTTCATAACATGGAACTGCAGATCTTTATCTGTAGAAATGGAGAACAGCATTTCAATGGGGTTCTACATCTGTGCCAAGTCCCCCCTCAGATAAGCACATACAGACATCAGACATGCAGCATTGCTAATGAGGTGTACTGGATGTGCAGGCAGTGGATATTCTCAGGCTACATTACTAGTACTTAACAAAATACCACCTGTCTCTCAGGAACACTTGCACTGTAATAGAAAAGTGTGGAAAAAAATGGAAGGGGGGCAGCAAATCAACACCCCCCATGGTGAGGGAGGGAGTGGGGCTGGAGTAGGCACTACCCAGCTGAGGGAGGGTGGGGGGCAGGTCAGAGCTGTGGTTTTGCCAGGGGGCATGGAAAGGGGGAAGCGGCTCCTGCCACTGTACGCAGCCTGAGAAGGCAGAGGGAAGGGGTGTTCCCTCTGGATCTGCATGGGGTGGGGCAGGCTGCAGCTGCAGGCTGAGGCGAGAGCTACACCAGACTCTTCCCCAGTGTGAGTAGCGGCCGGGCTGTGCTGTGCTCGGGGCGGATGGCAGCACTGGGACTGGGACTGCAAGGGGAGGTGTACAGCTACCCCAAATTTTGCTGCAGCCTGGCCCATAGTCCCCTCCCAGCACTGCTGCTGCATGCCCCAAGTGCAGTGCAGTCCCCTCCCCGCCCCAGTTGGAAAAGCCCAGCGCAGCAGTGCAGCCCCCAGCCCACACCTGCAACCTGCCCCACCCTGCCCAGGGGGGCACACACCCCTCCATGCCCTCCAGGGGTGCGCACAGCAGCGGGAGCTGCTCCCCCTCCCCCGCACAAGCCTTGGCTCTGTCCCGCACCCCAGCCCACTCCACCCTGGCTGGGCAGTGCCTACCCCAGCTCCAACCCCACTCCCTCCCTCATCACAGGGGGCATTGATCTGCTCCCCCACACCCCTTCCCTCCCCCAACCCCTTCCACCACAACAGACTTACCAGCCGGACACAGTTGTATCAGAAATTGGATCGGTATTGGCCAATAAGCCTCCTTAAAAATTGGCTATCTGTATTGGCCCCCAAAATGTCTGTCGGTGCACCTCTAATATCAATCTATTTTAAAATGCCCTGATAACTAGCAAGAGGTGAATGATAATTTCCTCTAAGGATCCTGAAATGAGCATGAGAGAGAACACCTGCTAACCGTTGTCATGCTGAGAAAACGAGGCGCATGCAACAGTGACAGAAATAAGGAAAGTGCCAAAGCCCAAAGAAGAATGGCATCTTTACCTGAAGCTTCAATTCCATGACCAAAGTCACACTTACCCATGACAACGGTGGGAATATTTACTTTCTCGTAGAAAACACTCGAGTCATACATCTCCGCCTGAAAAACAAAATGTAGCTTGTCTTTCTCTGAAGTGAGAGGTGTTTTACAGATCAGACTCAAACTCTCCCACCCAGAAATGATTGTCCCAGTATTTGCATAAATATGACAGGACCCTTGCATCCATGTTAAGCTTCATGGAGTTCAGATAGATCGGCACAGCTGCATGAGATTGTTTGTTTGGATGGCTAGGATTTCAGGATTGGAAACTTTTTCATATTTTGTGTAACTGAAAATTCAAGGCCATCACAAGCTACTTCCTTTCAGTACGAAGGAGAGAGACAAGTTACATTTTTTCCCAATAAAACAAACAAAAAACCTCAGAGAAGCAACAAACTTAAAGAAAAAAATAGAAGCCACCTCCTCTTCTTTTGAGTAATCCAATTTCCTCAGTCTGCAGGAAACTACATGCTTTTCCAGAGAGGACTTCGGCATCTGATGATTAGCATCATAGGGACACACAACTTTATCATCCTGGCAAAAGCAAACAACAATCAGCAGAGGCTATGACAAGCAAAGAGCCTCAGGAGAGGGGCTGAAGAAAGCTCGCCCTCTCTCCAAGTGCTGGCCAGGGCACTCCGCGGGGGCAGTCATTGTGGCCCCAGTGATGCCAAGTCTGCACCCAACACTGTGACTATGTTCATGCTTTAAAATATCAGACTAACAAGATGGCACCAGACCCCCACCGCTGCCAGGTGATACGCTGCAGCACATGCATAGTGGGGGGCCTGTAGTCAGTGGACACAGGGTAAAGCAGTGCTTCTCAACCAGGGTGTTGCAGCATGTTAGAGCACCATGAGATCCTTTCGCGGGTGCTGGTGGAAGCCACACAACGTGGGCACCGCTGGGTGGGAGGGGGCGTTTAGGCAGCAAAAAACATTGTGGGCAGAAAACACACAAGGCACCCAAGCCTGTCAGCAGAACAGAAGTGATTTTGAATAAGTGCAAGTGCGCACACGTACACATGTGCATGTAGCATACCGATGTGGCATGCTTGCACATCAGCAGGTGCACACACAGGGGCAGGTGTGCATGCATTTGCATGCTGTGGAGGCGGGGCTTCCGCAGGAAGGAGGCTCCAGCAGTGTTGCCAAGTCTCCCGAGAAAAAAAATTGCCCTTAAAAACAAGCCCAAAACAACCACAACCCATTTCAGAGAGGGGAATGGGGGGGAGGGACGGCTGTTTGTGGGGGCAGTAGGGCATGCTGGGGTGTGTATGCGGGAGGGGGG